TTTCTGTTCACCCTTACTCATTGCCTTGTCAGAGTCCCCAAAATGGAGCATCTTCTGATTTGGCTTATAAGTAGAAAACACATTAGAACAAAACAAAAACCTGCCTAGTATTTATATCCTTTATATCCAGAGCCCTACAGACAGTAAGCATCCTCGCTGTAGGGTCTGAGAGATGCTCCCTGCCCAGTAGCTGTCGGCCCTTTTCTCCTGACTGGGAACTTGCACTGTCACGGAGGTAAGTCCCTTTTTTTTTTTTTGGCCCACATTGGCACTTGGGAGAAGCAGAGGGATGTAGAATAGGGGGCAGAGGCACCTTTCATCTTCTCCCCAGGGCACCGGGGCATGGGGTGCAGTGTTTCGGGATGGAGAGGAGATAAGCAGCCAGTCTTGGGGTGCTGGCGAAGGAGCAGAATGGAGGTCCGCTCAGGAGCTAACCCGGCAGGTGGGCACAGGATGGCCACTTGGGGTGAGGTAGGAGAGGGGCTGCGTGCTCTACGTTGTCAGTTGGCTTTGAATACTTCATGGGCCAGCCCGTCATGGGCCAGGTACTGCTGCCCGCTGCATCGTTCACAGAACCTATTTCACCTGGAGGTGCGTCAAGGCTGGCAAGGCTTTGCTCAAGGGCATCATCATGTGTTTTTAGGTCTCCTTAAAGCTATAACCAGGGAAAATGTGTGTTGTGTTGTTTTGTTTTTACAAAAAAAAAAAAAGGCATACAATGAAACTAACAATCTTGTTAAGATGATGCACTTAAAAATCATCAAAATTTCCAGTTTGTGAAGAAAAGGGCATTTTTCTCTCAAGCTAAAAAGACACACCTATAATACTAATGTACTTATACTTTTGGGCTTAGCCTATATATATATAGTTTCAGGTGTGGGTTTGTGTTTTGATGGTCAAGCTCTAAAATAATGAAAACAGCTCCAAATCTTTAAACACAGCGGTGCTAAGCTATACCAGGTAACACGACACAGACAGAGCTGGTATGAATACATGTACTCCGTCATAACCCAAGAGGTTTTGCTAAATTACACGTATCACTGCCTGAGGAAAAACCCCACAATCCAGTACAGAAATCAAACTGTGATTCCAGAGTCTTTTTAGTGGGTAAAAAGGACCCAAAAACTTTGTTTTATATGGAACACTTTTTTTTTTTTTTTTTACACCACCTTCAAAAGTGCTTAATGGTAGGTTTGTTCGCGATAAGTGAGCATGCTCTGCTTTTTCAACCTGCGGAAAGAGACTTCCACCCAGCTCACCTTCTCTTAGAAACTGTTCTACCGAAACATAGCGGTTTATCTGTTAGCCGGGGTAGGTCTGTGCTAGTGTTTTCCGCATCTGTCGTCTTCAAGGGATGATGTCCCTTCCACAGTGGACGCCACTTTGTGCTAATAGCCGGTTTCACTTTCGGTAAGCAGGTGATCGTGTATATACTTAGATGGGCTTCGTTTTAACATTCTATCCTCTCTGCCTCTCTGCACTTCAGGTCCTTAGGCTATTTAAAAACTATTGAGTTTTGGCAAACACCGACTGAAATGTGTATGGCAACTGCTTTCCTGAGCAAGCGTGATTTGATTTATGGCTGTTCCAGTGCTAAGGTTGCTCTCACATTGTATGTGAACAAAACCTTGCTGTTTTTAAAGGTCATTGTAACTTGAGGTTCAAATCACCTGCACAATTTGACTAGTCTTCACTTCTGAAGCTAATAAGAGACCACGGTTTTCTCTGTTAGTCTCCTTGTAACATCAATAAAGTGACTTTCAATGAAAGATCAATGTTCTTTTGATGCATAACTCCCTTCAGTCCTGTTTTCCTCCTGGCCACCGTCTGTCTTTCAGAAGCCTTGTGGGGGTATGGGCAAGGGGTGTTCTTTTCTGTTCTGCGCTGTCCTAACAGGGCCGTCAGCATGCTAAGATTCGCAGTGGTCCTTCAGGAGAGCCTGTGTGCTGTCTGTTGGATGATTTCCTTAGCTGGGCAGCAGGCAGAGCCCCCTCCATCTACGCACCTGCTTTGCCTCATCTTTTTGCACTTTCTCCCTGACCCTAACAGGGATCCAGGTCCTGTATCCTGACCCAGAGCCCAGGCAGTGGGCTATTTAACAAGCTCACCTGTGTTAGGCTCTAAGCATGGGCCTCAGAAGGCTGTTTAAGTTCATGAGTTCATAGACCCACCTGCCGCTTCTTCTCCCAAGCAGCCATTTCACCCACCAGTCTTATACATACACACTATATATATATATATATATATATATATATATATATATATATATATATATATAAAATCTTTTATATATACATTATACACATACACACACCACACATTATTGATTTCAGAGGGAAAGGGAGAAACATCAATTGAGAGAGAATCATTGATTGGCTGCCTCCTGCATGCCCCCCACTGGGGATCAAGCCTGCAACCCCGGACATGTGCCCTGACTGGGAATCAAACCATAACCTCCTGGTTCATATAGGTCAATGCTCATCCCCTGAGTCACACTGGCTGGGCCCACCCCCTAGTCTTTACTCTGGAACTTACACTTCCCTTGCCTTTAGCTTTTAGTCTGCTGAGGAAAAAAAGTAATATGTGTTGAGGCTGGTTTGGCTCAGGGGATAGAGCGTTGGCCTGCAGACTGAAAGGTCTCGGGTTCGATTCCGGTCAAGGGCATGTACCTTGGTTGCGGGCACATCCCTATTGGGGGTTGTGCAGGAGGCAGCTGATCAATGATTCTCTCATCGATGTTTCTGACTCTCTATCCCTCTCTGTAAGAAATCAATAAAACATATTAAAAAAAAAGTATGTGAGAAAAATGGGTTAAGGGCTTGTACATGTATTATAAGTAAAAAACAAACACACACACACACACAACACAAAACGGTGATTACATAGAGCTCCATTTCTTTTTTCTTTTTTTTTTTGAGCTCCATTTCTTGTATTTGTTTAGACATATATAATAGTTCATTCAGATGAGCACTGAAACAGTGACACGGTCAGCTGAGTGAAAACAGTCTAGTTCAGAAAGAGCAGAGGTTGGAGCTCACATGCCACCTGTGACTGAAGGTGCCACCTGGAACTTCATGCCCAAGGGGAGGGGACCTCCACTGTGGCTCCAGGGGAGTGAGCGCGGTGAGCAGTGCGGTAAGACTGCCGTGTGCTGTCCTGCCGTGTGCTGTCGGTGCCAGCCGTCCCCAGAGAGGCACCAGGCCTCCGGGAGCCACATCCCATGGAAGCACTGGAAAAGGGTGTATTTCCTAACACATGGCACCTCTTGAAGCACAAATCTGCAAAATTAAATTAAATCTCGTCGGGGTGACTGGAGGAACTTAATTCTCCAAATAACTGAAGTGTGCAGGTTTGACCTAACAGCTTTACCAGAAAAGCAGACCAAGAGACAGTTGTGAAGAAGCGGGAGAGGCCGCCCTGGAAGTATATAATGAATGAGACATGGAACCCAACATAAAATAGAAATAAGGCAACACGAGATTCACTGGTAATGAAGACTTTGGCTGTAATTAAAGAAAGGAGATGTAGATGTCAAATTCCTCAAGGGGAAGGAAACTTTCGAAGGCAGGGACATGCTGAAGGCTGGGCTCCATGCTTTCGAAAAGAGAGTAAAAGTGGGAGAGCTATGGAGACTTGCTTCAAGGATTCAATAATTAAAACCGAATTGAGTATTTCAGAGACATGGTCTTGTATCCTTTCACACTTAACCAAAGACAAACTCAGAACCATGGCAGCTGAGATCACCTTGGGGCTCATCCAAGCTCTCGGATGCTTTACATATGGCCCATCACCTTGAGTCGGCAACGGCCTTCTTCCTTACCACCTTAGGCATCCAGAAAACAGCCCTTCCTTAGACTGCAAATTCCCCAGAGGATCCTGGTGAGTTTGAAGCAAACAGCGGGCCCTGGACTGATGCTCCCTGCCTCCTGGTCCTCTGAGCTCTCTGGCCCTTCTCTGGCAGCTCAGGATCTAGCCAAGCTTTGTGCCTCAGACAGTCTATCTGTAGTGAAACCTATACTCACCACATAATACAGGGTTGGGCAAAAGTAGGTTTATGGTGTGAGTATGCAGAAGTTTATTCTAGTATTATTTTCCATATGAACAACTGTAAAGGTACTTTTGCTCCACTCTGAGCAACTGCCTCACAGTGTAACATGTAGACCAGGTGTGAGTACTTGACATAAATATGTAAGTTAGGGCTGAATAAATGTATATAAATGAATATGTATGTGTGTATATATATATATATATATATATATATATACACACACACACACACACACACACACACAAACAACTAGTGAAATGTAACTAATGATGCTTACAAATTTTTTTATTTTCATTGGTTGGCATTAGGAAGATAGTTGTCACGTTGTGCCCCAGAATGAGACCCGTGTTCTGCGGGCAGGGAGAAAATAGGCTAGGTTGATTAGACGCCCGATGCATGAAATTCAAGCAAGGGGTTCAGGCCTAGCACTGCAGCAGCTGCCCCGGCCCTCATAGCCCTGGCTTCCTCCGGAAGGTCGTCCGGAAGGAGATCTGGAAAGTCGGTCGGCTGTCCTGTCTAATTAGCATGTTACACGTTTATTATTCTAGACTAAGCTCTCTTGCAAAAAAAAAAAAAAAAAAAAGAGCAAACCAGCCAGGCTTTAAATTTAAGAAACAGAAATATTATTGGTGTTTATTGTACCAACACACTTTTTCCAGTCACTTATCCCAGAGGTAACAGCTAATCCCTGTTCAAAGATGTAGAAACAGGCTCTGAGAGGGCCTAACGCGGTCGAACCACATCCACGGGCAGAGGCACAGGTAGCATTGGAATCCAGACCTTACTTGGGAGGACATGCTTCAAAGCTTTTCTAAAAAGCCCTCCACTACACCGTGACGCCTGCTGATGGGAGGACACCTGGGAAAGCAGCGGGAAGGAGGAAATGAGCGCGCGATCCTGACTCCCAGTGGCAGTCACCGCAACATGTCGGAACACCATTTCCAGACCCCTCGTTGTGTACATTTTTTAATGTCAGTGTGAACACAAGGCATATCAAAATGAAAGTATCAATATTTAAAAAATTAACATCTGCTTTTAAAGGGAAAGCACACACATTATAGAAAGCTTGGAAGATACTGAAACGTATAAAGGAAGTTTAATCACCTAGAATGCTGTTAGCCAAAAACAATCATAGCTCATAGTTTCATATACTCCCTTAGTTTTTTTTCCTGTTAATTTTCTTTTTTACACAGTCAAGCTCAGAATGTACAAGGTTTTTAAGTATGGTTAACAAAGGCCTGCATGGATGATGACGAAGGTCTCGGTAACAGACAGTATTTGCCATTCAGATTATTCAGTAGGTTTTCAAGAGGCAGGAAATAATCACCCCTGTACCCATCCATTCATATGACTATCAATCAAAACATCTGTAGGCCTTAAGCCTTAAAGTTTCTACCAAGATGAACTCTGACATGGATTACCATAGTTTCTTTTTTTGCATCACTTTAGGTATAAAACATAAGAATACTCCACACAGCCCTCGCTGGTTTGGCTCAGAGGTTAGAGTGTTGGCCCAAGGATTAAAGGGTTCCGGGTGCCGATTCTGGTCAAGGGCACCTACCTTGGTTGCAGGCTTGTTCCCCAACCCTGTTGGGGCATGTGTGGGAGGCAACCAATTGATGTGTCTTTCTCACATCAATGTTTCTGTCTCTCCCCCTCCCTCTCACACTCTCTAAAAGTCAATGGGGGAAAAAAATCCTCGGGTGAGGATTAACAAAACAAAACAGAAAAAGAATATGCGCTACATAAAGCTTCCATACCACGCAAAAGCCCATCTAGGGGAGGAATGACAGCAGCTGCCGCCTGATGAGAAGGTTTTAGTATCCTACTGTGAAAAGTATACAACGTGCCTCACACATTCTGCACACCTAACTTCACATAAAACAGGGTTAACAAGAAAATAAGACAGAACAATGGCTCAAGGAAGTTCTAAATGGTTAACAGAACTGATCTTAGCCTAATAAAAATTCCAGAGAATTTATTATCTAAACTGAAAACAGCAACTTCAGAGGTACATACAGTAATAAACCTTTACAACAGCTGTTAAGGAAAAGCGGTGAAGCAAGTTTACACGCGTTTCTGAAGGCGAGCCAAAAGCCAGTGCGCCCGCTGGAATGTCGATCCCGTTCACACGGCGCCCTCCGGAGTTAAATGCTCATGACACACTGGATGAACTGAAAGAGAAAAGCCAGCATTACCACACAGACCTCTTACACGTACACACTCTAACGTATGTCCATGCAACTTACACTTCCGTATTCTAGTTCAAATTAATGGATTTAAAAAATCCTTTATAAAATAAAAGTAAATGATGTATGGAAAGGCTCATTTCTTTGAGGAAAGCAGTCTAATATAAAATCCGATGGGTGCCCGGGCCAGGCTGCTCAGTGGGATGGAGTGTCGTCCCCTTACATCAAATGTTTACAGACTCGATCCTGGTTGTACAGGAGGCAATGGTCCATGTTTCTCTCACATTGATGTTTCTCTCCCTCTCTCCCTCCCTCTCTCTCTAAAATCAGTCAACATCCTTAGGGGAGGGTTAAAAAAGAAAATCCAATGGGTTTCTCACATCAAAGCTCACCTCAGAGCTTACTCCAGGGTATATAGAATTACTATTTAAATTCCAAATACGACCTAAGACTCAAGAAATGGGCATGGCCAAAGGTTCCTACTCACAAATAGAAATAACAACTCAGCTTACACATTCCTATCACATGGAGACCTCCAAACTGCACAGGATTACCCCGTTACTCTCACGGAGCTCCTTAAAACAGTTTATACTCCCTTCCCATCTGCTTAATCAATCACTGGAATGGTAGCATGCGAGTGTATGTGTGCACAGAAACAGCTCGGAGCCTCCTGCAGTTCAGACCCAGCTCAGAAGCATCAGCGTGTGCTGTGAAGCATTTGCTTGCTCTGCCACTAAATACACACCAACAGACGGGGCTTTTTACCCATTTTCTCTTTCAGTCTTCTCATACCTGTGAGGACCGTGCACTGCTAATCCACACAGCATTCCCGCAAGGCCCCGCCGACCACCCCCATCTCAGGGGAAAGGAAGCTAAGGAGCAAGAGGTCTAGGTATCTCTTAAGTGGCCCCCCTCTGAGACCAGAGGCTGTGCACTTTCCACTCCATAGGCTGCCTCCTTTGGAAACAGTGACAGGACTGTCACCTGAGAAGTTGCACGTGAAAGAGAACACATCTTTGAGTGGAAGAAATAAACAATTACACACAAGCCTTTGTAAAGTGCACCCATACGTGCAGCAGCTGCTGAGCTGCATTCAGTTATCACAGTGACTTTATTCTAAACACAATTAAAAAAAATCAATGGCTTTAAAGCAAAAAAAAAAAAGGAGAAACAACTAAGCATCTCCCTAGCTCTGGTAAGTCTATCCAGTGAATGAATGCAATCAAAGATGGCCCTTGGGTGCCTTCACGCTGGCGAAGGCCTTATCCCTCCTCATTTAGCGTGGCTGTTTCAGAAACCCTGGAGTTTGTGCCTGATGTTCTCCTTGAAGGACATGGGGCTGTCACCTAGTGCCCTGAGCTCTGAAAGTTCCTTCTCACTGACTGAGATGAAGGCAAAGGCAGATACAACACTTGCACGATGCTTTTCAAGGACATTTCTGATTGAAATCTCACAACAGCCGGGTGAAAAAGGCATTACTTCCTCCTCTTCCCTCACAGGCTCAGAGCAGTGCAGAAACCTGCCCGCGTGACCCAGCCAGAATGGGACAAGCTGGGCTTTGACCCAGGCCTTTTTAATACACAGCAAACGGTGTTCTATGGGTAAGATGAATAATAAATGAAATTACTGATTTTGAATGGTAGTCCCTCATCATTGAAGCCTGGATCACTCTGACATCCTTAAGATGCTCCTAACAGTTAACTTTAAAGGGCATCCCATTTGGTGTGCATTTTCTGCAGCTACTCAGTTCTGAATTTACTGAGACTTACATCATCATAGGGGAAATTCACAACACCCTGCTGAGCAGTATCCCGCCTTCGGAAGTTATCTGTAAAACAAGACAGTAAATTAAAAAAAAAAAAAAAAAAAAAAAAAAAAATATATATATATATATATATATATATATATATATATATATATATATATATATATAATTTGAACTCAAAATAGTTAATTATTTTGGCTTTCGGTTCACACTGCAGTATCATTTAAATTGTACAACCAGCCAAAATAACCGAAACACCAAAGCAAAGAAGCCAACTGTATGAATAAAAAGACAAAGTAATACAATGTGCAGAGGTCGGCCATCTGTCTGTCTCTTTCAGTGCGGAGCTGGAAGAAAACACTTTATCCCAAAGTCAGTAAAAGCTGTGCGGCTTCTGAGGCCATTTCTTCATTTTGATGAAAGCATAGATTTCAAAGTTCTTACTGTCACAGATATTGCTTAACTGGGAAAGAGGTGGTGTATGTACTATGGCAAATGGGCTGTGATAAAATATTCCACCTGAGCTCTCTGCCCTGTTGACAAGGATTTGCTTAAAAAAAAAAAAAAAAAAAAAAAAAGTCTCTCAAATTTTTGTTTAGGATCAATAAAAAATCATAAAACCCGATATTAAAAAAGAGTAAAAAGTAATGGAACAAGAAAATATATACAAAAGGAAAAAAACAGAGGGAATAGAAATGTATAGATTATTGATGTCTCATCGTTTAAGAAATATACCTGAAACGATGACCACTATTTTAAATTACTTTCCATAAGAGGAAATGAGAATGAGAACTACAAATGAGTAATTCACTCTTTTCAGATATTTCACATACTACTAGGGAGACATCACAGGATACTCTGGTCAAAAAATTAGTTTGTCATGTTTTGGAACATTTCAGTAAAATTTTGTTAGGGTTTTTTTGTTGTTGTTTTGGCAGCTCGTACAAATCTGAAAAAAAATCTGAAAAAATAATTCTGCTAGATGAGGTTCATAGAAATGTTAAAAAGCCACTTATGTTAGGAGAAAAAAAAAAAAAGATGAGGACAATAAAAGTGTAGAAGCACTGAGAAGTGAAAGGTCATAAAAAGGCATGTCTTCCTGACCCACGGGGACGCCACCATCTCAGAGAACACACCTGTCAGGGCACGCAGCTTGACACAGCAGGCGATGTAGTCGTCGAAGGTGATCTTCCCATTGGTGCTGTATCGCTTTGCAATTGAATTCACGGCCTGGGGACTCAACCGAAATCCTGAATGGAAGAAAATTCGTCCAGCCAAAAAAGTTAAAGGATGGCAGAATGATCATTAAAAATAATCAAGCACAACATTTTAAGACTGAGGGTATTTAATACACAATACTACTAGAATACAGAAGATTTGGAAATTAAAAAAGAAAAAAACAGACTCCTCCCCATACCCACCCATGGTTGTCAGGGCCTTCTGCAGCTCTTGAGGATCCACGGTGCCACTCCTGTCGCTGTCAAAACTGGTGAAGTGCTGTCTCCAGCCGTTCAGTACAGACCAGAGCTCCTTAAATTCACTGAAACCCATGGTGCCTGACAGATCTCTCTGAGCTGTCATTAAGGATTCAGAGCATCTTTTTTTAGGGCAATGTTTTCTAATGATTAAATCAAAGATCAAGGATAAGGAAATTCAATGTTCTTTCTGCTACAAGGGTTAAACATGTCCCAGGGCCTCTGGGAAAAGGGCTGAGTCCACCTTTTCATGGTGGGAGAAAAGATAATCTATGTGATAGAATTACAAGGAAATGGGATGGTCATTGCAAAGCAACAAGTAAAAAGCACTCTTGTTACTGGAACTGGTTGCCCTTTCTGGATGCCCCAGGCCAGTGGTCGGCAAACTAACAGAGCCAAATATCCACAGTACAATGATTGAAATCTATTTTGAGAGCCGAAAACCAACTTCTGCGCATGGGCCATGAAGTTTCAATCGCACTGTATGTGACATTTTGTGGAAGAGCCACAATCAAGGGGCCAAAGAGCCGCATGTGGCTCTCGAGCCACGGTTTGCCCACCACTGCCCTAGGCTATGCAGCTCACCCTTCTGTCCTAGGGCCCTCGTGGGGCCTCACACTCCCTGGGTGAGCCCTCCCAGAGCTACAGTTTTCACTTTAGCAGGTGAGGTGGGATGGAAGGTACCCTAGGGTCAGGACTTGCTAAACTGAGTCCAACAACTGTGCTGTGAAAGCTCCACGGCTTGAAGGTCAGCTGCGAGTCGCACAGAACAATCACTGCTGAAGCGAGAAAGCTTCCCTGACACTCTGAGTTCTACTCTGCTCTCCTTGGCTGCTTCGCTGAATTCTTGAACAATCGACATCTTACTAAGCTCCCTTCCTTTCTCCAATTTCCATCTTAAAAGCTAAGGATTTTATATATATATATATATATATATATATATATATATATATATATATGTGTGTGTGTGTGTGTGTGTGTGTGTGTGTGTGTGTGAGAGAGAGAGATTTACCGCTGTTTCCCATGTATTCATTATTAGAGGAATCCCTTTAGGGAGGAATTTTTGTGACAAGAAAAAATACTCCAAACAGCAATGCAGGTAAAGGATACATCCAGCATGGAAACCATAAGCCGACAGGTCTCCAGGTTAAAAGCTGTTAAATCAAGGAAAGGGCATACCTATTAATACAATTTCAAAAATTCACATTGCATTAGATACATTCAAATTAATTCGGAATATGATTTACACACTTCTGCTTCACGAGAAACGGGGCAGTGTTAGCGTTGAAACAATGGCCGTACAGCGATAACTGTTGAAGCTGAGAGATGGGTACAGAGAAGCTCACTGTATAATTATCTCTATCTTGGATAAGCTTAACGTTTTCCATAGTATAGTCTTTTAAAAATATTATGTACTTCCTTCCCTTTGAAACTGTAACACAGTGAGTTCAATTCAACCAGAACGAACCACAACGTATTCCATCCACCACTGTGAGCAGGAAGGCAGGGATGATTTATGACTGCTCCTCCTTGACAGCAGGTTTGCTAGTTTTTTGTCTAATCCTATTTTTCTTTCTTTTCCCTAAATTTAATGTCAGGCTCTGAATGGCAGCCTCTTACCTCAAATAGCCTGGCCTCTGTTCATACACAATAAGATTATATACAGAAACAGGTAAACATGCTGGCGAGAACTGTGTTAATAAATAAGAGCGCTCTGGAGTAAGATGCAATGAGGACTTAGATGCTCCTTCCTAGTAAGAGAGGCTTCGTAGAAACAGCAGCATTTAGGCCAATCCGTGAATGACAGAAAGATGGGGGACATTTGGTGACAGCCAAATACAGCTAGGATACAGCCAAATACAGCTAGGATCCAAGCAAAGATGCAGGAAAGTCTGGGGCAGTCAAAGGAAGTGGGAGGAAGTAGGTACCTTTCAATGAGGCTACCCTACCTTGAGTTCCTGCTAAACGGTTTAGCTTTTATTTTTAGGCATCAAGGAGCTACTTCAGATTTTTAGAGGAGAGTGACATGTTAGAGTTGTTTTAGAAAGAACAGAAATCTGGTCTTTTTTGTGTGAGGTTTACAAAGGAAGGGAATGTGATGGGCAGTGAACAAAACGGAACAGAAAAATCCCCTATTCCAGACCGCTCTAGGGACTAGAATGCTGATGTCTAATCAGTTCGGGTGAGGAAACTCTCGCTCAGTATTACTTGTATTTCCCCTCCGGAGAAAGCTTCTGTTGCGAATTCCGTTTTTACATAGTTGCAAAATCATCTTCTCTGTCATTGTACCTTTCCTCTCCTTCTCCAGTCCATTCTGCTAGCACGGCTCACACACCTTTTCTTCCAGGAGGAATCCACAGGGTAACACACCTCGCAGGAGGGCCCTGCCTCCAGCCGTTTCTCTGCTGCCCAGAGGAACAGCGACACACGAGGCAAACACAGAAGCTGAGTGACTGTCTTAGAGATGAACCACTGCCCTCATCAGCTCCACCTCTAGGTGTGGCCGCTTCCTATTACACGGGTCACAAAGGCGCCTGCAGGCACTGGGCTGGAGTCGACCCCCTCACCCCCCCGCCTGTGCTGTTTCGGTGAGGAAGCTGGGTTTGATATAAAGGTTTGGCCTAAATGCTACTGTTTCTACAAAGCCTCTCTTACTAGGAAGGAGCATCGAAGTCCTCATTGCATCTTACTCCAGAGCGCTCTTCTTTAACACAATTCTCGCCAGCGTGTTTACCTGGTTCCACACGTAATCTTATTATGTGTGAACAGAGGTCAGGCTATGTGAGGTAGGAGGCTGCCATTCAGAGCCTGACATTAAATTTAGGGAAAAGAAAGAAAAATAGGATTGGACAAAAAACTAGCGAACCAGCTGTTGATTGATAGTCAAGTGAATGTGTTGTTTCTGTATTACAAAACTGGCTCTGACAGCTGTCACGTAAGATGGCTCTGCGGTTCGGGACAACCCCCCCCCCCCCCCCCCCACCAGATGAGGGGAGTGAGCCCACGGAGCCCATCACGTGGTCCCGGTGACTCAGGGAATACCACCTCCTGAGCTCACAGGGTTCCGATGACTCAGGAAATGTCCTCTCTAAAGCCACACCCTGAAGCACGACTTTCTCAGATGCTATTTTTACAAGGACTGCTCTCCGAGGATGTACAGGCCACTGGGTGAGTCAGATTTACAGCCTACCGCACCTCTTCTACTGAGCGTGTGTGGAACAACAGTGTGCGCTCCCCTGGGTAAACCCTGTCATTAGACTGTCTGTTCTTGAGCCTCAGCCGCTTGACGTTAACAGTTAACAATGTACAAGTACTGCCTCAAAAAAAAAAAAAAAAAAAAAAAAAAAAAAAAAAAAAAAAAAAAAAAAAAAGCCCCTCATCTGGAAGGTGCTTCTTTTGTGTAGGATCAGATTAAATGGCAGAAATGTAAAAGCTTCCTCCTTTGTGCAAATTCCCCCAACTAGGACATATTAATAGGAGATTGATGGCACATGAAACAAAGGATAAAACCAGAAATGCAAATAGGCTAGAAAGAGAGCCAACTCGTAAATACGCTGTGTCAAACAGCAAAAAACGTGTAACTACAAATCCTCAGGCGTGCATTTTCGTTCGGGAATTTTAAAGCACAGTTTCCCAGGCAGTGGGGGCTTCGATTTGATGTTCTGCCTCAATGAACAACCGGCAAAGAAGTTGGCAGCTAAGGCACCTCAGTCTGGACACTATCATGTACCCGGTTATCTGTCATGGCCCAGAGCTGATCTGAAAAGAGCTGTGTGGGGGCATGAGAACCCCTGGTCAGGCCCTAACCAGTTTGGCTCAGTGGATAGAGCGTTGGGCTGGCGACCTAAGGGTCCCGGGTACGATTCCAGTCAAGGGCATGTACCTTGGTTGCAGACACATCCTCAGTAGGTTTGTAGGAGGCAGCTGATAGATGTTTCTCTCTCATGGATGTCTCTAACTCTCTATCCCTCTCCCTTCCTCTCTGTAAAAAATAAATAAATCAATAAAAAAATAAAAATATAAAAAGAACCCCTAGACAGGAGGCAACCTCTTTGCAATGCTTCCCTATCTGCACCTTGAGGCAGAGCTCAAAGGGAAGGGCAGTGGAGTGAGCGCTAAGTTATAAGCACTGTGAGGAGCTGTGCAGGAGGGGAAGGAGGACTTGTGGACGGAGTTAGAAGTTAGGAAGGCCATGTCTCAGCCCAAACACATTCTCTGAAGTGGAAGAGGAAAGACCCGGGAAAGCCATGGCAAATATTCGTGTTGCCAGCAGCATGCTGAGACAGGAATGCAGACCTGGCTCTTTGACGGCCAGGGGTGGATGACAGAACCCGCCACTCAGAACCAGGAGGGCAGGCCGGCCACTAGGGGACCAAGCCACTCAACGCCCTCAATGCCACCAGGCTCGGGACAGAGTAAGCTCTTGGCAAATAGTACACGTTCGCTGTTGTGCACGAAAAAGGGACCATCACAAGCTGCCAGGGAGCCACATGGCCGGCCTGGCACACTCAGTGACCAAAAGTGACCACACAGGATAGCCTGGTCATAAATTCCTACCTGGGCCAGCCCTGGGGGTAATCACATCCCAGGCCTGTATCTTCCTTCACAAAGGTCAATCTTTACACTGAGTGCGCCCAGTTCACTCCGATGCATCTGGGATAACATAGCTTTGAAATGCCAGTAATTTTCTTCCCCTAGCCCTGGAAGGCACAGCCTCCGGCACCAGAGCACAAGACACAGCACTCATTGTAACCTAATTCCCCACATACCAGCTCTACGTGCTATACGGATGCTAATTATTAACCGTCCTGTACCCACCATGTGCTTCTCCATTCTGCCCTTTAACCAACCCTAGAGATGTCCCCACTTTGTTTTCTCCTGCCTCCTTAACCTACCACCCATGGACTCCATGTACCTTTCTTACGTTTGCCCCCTTGATTCCTAATCCATAAGAGAAACTACAAAACTGCCCATCCCTGGGGCATTTTCTCCATTTGTTGGGATTTTGCTTCCAGCATGTCCTCAACATTTTGCTTAAAAAAAAAAACCTCATGAAACTTTTCTATAGGCGGGACATTCTCCTGTCCTTAAAGACACCTAAGCTGGAAGGTTTCATTTCAGCACTTACCTCGCCCGCTGTGAAGGAGAACACGGGAACTGTGAACCCAGTTATACGGAACTCAAATCTAAGAAACCCACTCAATCGGCAGGTGGTGTGAAATGACTTATTATTAAGCACTGCATTCACATTCACACTTTGAAATAATAAACGGAATTTAGCTTTTGAAATTCTAAATGTTGCAGGATCGGGAAAACTCAGTTTCCTTGAAGGCTGTAATCATAGGCGACAGCTAAAATGTTAAAGGCAAGTGCACGTCAGGAGAAACTCTGGGGCTGTCCACTTACGTTTGTATCCCCCGGCGATGCCCGACTCTGTCAGGCATTTCTGCAGTTCATCAGCATCTATTTGTCCATCCTTTTGAAAACAAAAATGGGAAGAGAAATCACAATAGTCATATGTACCGTCCAGTTCTCTGTGTACTTTCAGTATTCAATGTATCAATAATAACCAAGAAAATGAGTTACTATCATACATGACATTTTTTAAAAAGAAATACGTTTCAAAAATAGGCATTCTTCTCTTCATCCTACTTCCAAAAATGATTGTATGATAAAAGGCAAATCTTCCACAAATGGATAATTAGGGCCATAACAAACAAAAAAATGCATTTTTAAATATCAATTTCAGACTACTTTAAATATTTATTACACAAGAATTAACGAAGTCAGAAAGCTGCTTACACCTGTACTCCATTGTTACCAATACCGTTTCATCATTTCCTTTAAATTCCTGAATTAGGTTTGGCACAAACACTCTCAAGTGTAAGGTTCCCCTCTTATTAAAAGACTGAGGTGAATTCTGTTTCTTCCATTGATACTTGATATTTTCAAGTGAATGAAAAAAAGGAGTTTCTTACTTGAACTTCTCTTGACTCCCCTCTGAGCTAGGAAAGTGCCGGAGTTAAGCATTTTGAAATAAAATAATTTATGTAGCTGCTTAAATCCTTACTCTAGCCTTTTTGGTAGGGGAAAGCAGGGTACAGAGCTGACATCATTAAATGAAAGGCATGATTCAGAGAGACCTTCCTGTACACATTGCTTATAGTGTGGTGCATGGTGTCTTCAGATCATAACTATATATATATATGAAAGATACAGGCTCCCCGTGCCTAGACCGGAAGCCAGGTATATGTTATTTTAAGGGATTTAAAAACCAAACACCTAAATTCCTCAAGTCCATAGGTATTATAAGATCTAAATGGGGAGGAGGGTCAACAATTGGAAAGGCTGGGGCTCTGCTGACACAGGCCAGGCTGTGAAAGCTAAGCAGGTGGGGTCACTTTCAGGGCTGGACGCTCAGGCAATCTAAGAATGTGAGTCTCGAGCTTTGCTGTGTCTTGTGGTTTCAAAGATACGGATCATTAACAGATGAAGGAGATACGTCAAGGGAAGCTCTTTCCGTTTTAGACTCAATTTTCCACTCGATTTCTCAAACTGAGTTTCTTAGAGTGCTGTTCTAAAACGTGGTCTTAGGCTTTTATCCCATGTTTCTACGGCGTTCGCACATTAAGGCGGTGTTAGTTCTAGCTTTTGATCAAAACAAACTTACATGGGGAGGGGTTTGGGATGGGAATGGGGGGATGAGGACAATTATATGACTCCATAATCAATAAAGAAATTAAAACAAAACAAAATAAACAAACAAAGCTAATTGAATTTATATGAGTGAATGCCTCTGCATATATCTGGGCTGTACCTACAGCACTCTGACCACACACAGTGACCTCCTGAGCCAGGGAAGTGACCCCCTCACTGTCCTCCTGCACCTGTCAAACCACTCAGAATTGAAAGAAGTGAAAGTTGTGGGTAAACAGGCCACAACCCCTAAGAAGGACAAGGAAGGCTGACCTAGCAACAGCACCTCCATCAAAGTGAAACTAAACTGTTCACAACATCAAGTTCCTGATTGTAAGAAGATAGGAGTACCTTTCTTACTTTGAAGCGGGTGGGTTTTTACCATAAATACCTATTTCCTAAGGGGGTAACTGGTGAACACTCAAGCTCAACCCCAAAAAAGTACCCACTAGAATCTGGCTGTAGAATTCTACTAGCTTATCAAGCCTTTACATTGTACAAACAGGGGTTTAAGGTCACCAGCTTGGCAATTCCTTTTCTGGAAACCACCGTGGACCCTGACAACTCAGGTCTAAAGACATCTTTCCACCTCACAGATTTTCTAAGGGTATCAGTAATCCCCTCTAGGATTCAATCGGACCACAGGTTTAGTTTTGAAGTGAACTAAGGTCCATACCGGAACACTTTGTCCTAATTTGTTCTGAAGATTCGGAAGTTCCCCCTCTTGTTTCTTTGACAGAAGCAAAGGGATTCTTTTCCAGAGGAAAGGCCATTTCTTTTTTCCTGGCCACTGTAACAAAGACTAATACAAATACAGACTCTCACGATTCTTAATATGAAAGGGAAAAGCTAACCTGCCCGGCTACTGCAGCAAAGTAACCATACAGCGGATCCTGCGTTTGTCCGGGAAACGTAGGCCCTCCCGGGGCCCCTCCATACTGGAACACAGAAAACACAAGTTCAGAATCATTTATTCCGCTGAACCAAGTTTCATTCCCTCCCCACTGGGCGCCCTTGTGCAAAGCCGGGCGATGATGGCCCGCCCTTCCCATCCTGGACCTTCCCACGGCCACAGACCCCAACTGCAGCCCCCTACCCCTTCCTTCCAGGCTCACTCAGGCAGAGTTTGCAAACGGGAGGCTCGGACCAAAACGAATGGTCCTGTCCTGACATCGGCATAAGTGAAGCAACTTAACTCCCCCATTTTAACCTCCAGGTTCCTGAAGTCCATGCATCCTAGGCAAGCAATTTAAAGCAAACTTAAATTTATTTTTTAGAGCGTCCTGTGGTGTTTTCAAAGCTTTTGGGGACAGGTGTAGCCAGGAACGGGGTAAGGTGTGTCAGGGTGGGGCTGTTTGCCCGGGAGGGAGCATTCTGTCTTGGAAACAGATCCCAGGACAACGCGCATCCCGGGCGCGGGGCGAGGGGGCCCTCCTCCGGGCGGGGGGGAGGACCTTGGACTCTGGCGATCGTTTCTGACCTGTCTCCCCCCGACTTTCTTTTAAAGGAAGAAGTAGATCTCCGGCCCATTCTAGGTTAAAATGGCTGTAGCTCGTAGGAAAAACACAGAGGGAGGGGGAAGGAAGCCGACACCCCTTTGCGCCATTTCACGCCCGGAGTCGCGGGTGGGCTTCTGGGGGGGTCCCCATCCACCCATGGGGAGGCGGAAGGGGACGGAGGGAAGGAGAGAGCCAGAACAACAGGCCGACAGGGCTGGGCGAGGCAGCGGGCAGGCAGGAGCCGGGGCGGGAGGCGCCGGGAGCCGCCCCGGCAAAGTGGCCCAGTGTGGTCCCCGGCGTCCCCGGTGCCCCAGGGCCGCGCGGGCTGCACTTACCCCACCTGGGTAGTACCCGCCGCCGGCGCCGGGGTGCCCGCCGGGGTGCCCACCGGGATGCCCAGGGTGCCCGGGGTAAGCCATGGTGCAGACTGCGCCGCCGCCGCCCCGCGCCGCCCTCACCGCCCGCCCGCCCGCCCGGACCGCACCACGTGGCGGGGGGACGCGCCCGGGGATGGGGGGGCGCGCCCGGGACCCGCAGCGGCCTCCGCCCCCGCCCCCCGCGCCCGCCCCGGGCTTTCAAGGGGCGATGTTCAGGCCGGGCGTCCCCGGAGGTCCGTGCGGCCCTGAGGACCCGCGAAGTAAGTCACCCCCGGCGCTGTGCCCCCCGCGGAACCAATGGTACAGCCCAGCATCCCCAACAGGGCCCCGGGAATTCTTTTTTCCTTCCTCTTTGGCTCATTGCTGGCTTTTTTTTTTTTTTTTTTAATGTTAAAAAACTTTATTGGAGTGCAGCATCTCGGGGGAGGGGCCGGATGCATCGGGGCAGCTCCTAGGTGCTTTTGGGGGAGGAGGCGTCGTGGAAGCATCCAAATGCGAAAGCGCCTTTGCAGAAACGGATCAACTTCTGGAACTGGGCGCAGGGAGCGCCGGGCGGGCGGGCGGTTGCAAGTTTCACTGATGAGAAGCCCGCGGCGCGGTTCCTCGCCAGGGGCATTGGCGTCGGGGGTTAAGCTGGGCGCAACAGGATGCGGCCCGGGGAGGACAGAGGGCAGGTGCTGGGCGGGGCAGCCAGTCCCAGGTCTTTCATAGAAAGTGAGTTTGAATTGGTGTCTGGGTGAATCAGGCGAAATGACTCAGCGACTATGTGTACAAGGAAAGTTTTAGAGCAAGCCAAGAGCGCACTGGTAAAAAAAAAATAATAATAATAATAATAAAAAATTATATATATATATAGATATAGATATATTTTTTTTTTTTTTCAGGGAGGCGAGAGATTGGAACTCCTCTAGGTGATTCAGAGAGTGGTTTTCTTTCCTTCACACGGTTTTCTTCCCCCCCACCCTCGTCGAACAGTGTGACGTTGATTGAATGTTTTTGACAGAATGTTTTCCTGATTTTTTTGTTTACGTTTTTCAAATGCATTCACGAGCAACTCCCAGTATTTGCTGTCGAGGTTGCGCAGAAAAGTTGAGAGTCTTCTATATTGAACAAATGGGAACCTCTGCGGAGCGGGGATTCTGTGCTTGTTCACCCCTGTGGACTGGGTTCCTCCATGCCCAGTTCCTGGGCGGTCTTTCACTAGGGCCATTTTTTTCCTCTTCTGCATAAATTCCCTGCAACCCTCTTTTTGGATACCCCAAACTCCAACAAAGGAAAGATCTGTATTATGAGGGAAAAAATCCTAATAGTCCCTGTCCCCTCATATCAAATAAACTATATTACTATCTGTTTTGTGTTTGATTCAGAAAGTAGATGACTGTTTTCAAATGCCAAAGCAAACATCGAGGTTGATTAGGCATTTTATGAGTCCTCTGGCCTCTGTGAAGTTTTTTATTTCTACTTTTTTTGTGTGCGCGCGCGTGTGTGTATGTGTGTGGTAAGAACACTTGACATCTACCCTTTTAACTAAATTTTAATTGTACAGCAGAATATTGTTAACTACATGCACAGTGTTGTACCAATTCTTTAGGACCCTTTCATTGATTTAGTTATAGTCCAGTTTCCATAGAGACTGTCAAAAATTGCCAGTGCTATATTTCAAGTCATCACTGTGGTGTTTTGGGAAAGGTTTTCAATTAGTAATAATCACGCCTCAGAAAGACCCCATTGGCCTGATACTGCCACCGCCAAAGCTGGAGCCTTTTTTATCTTGCATGGCTGAAACTCTATACCCATTGAACAACTCCTCATTGTTCCTTACCCACTGCACATCTCTTTCTAACGCCAGCCCCTTTCTACTTTCTACTTTAATTGTATGATTGGCATCTTCTTTCTCATATAATTGGAACCATGCAGTGCTTGTCCTTTTATGATTGGCTTATTTCACTTAGCATAGCATCTTTGAAGTTTATCCATGTAGCATATGACAGGAGATTATATATATATATATATATATATATATATATATATATATATATATATATATATATATATGGCTGGACCCATTGTGGGATTGCTGGAACATACGATAGCTTTACTTTCAATTTTTGAGGGACTTCCATATTGTATGGTATAGTGGCTGCACCATTCCACATTCTCAACAACAGGTGCAAGAGTTCCAGTTTCTCCGCATATTTGCCAACACTTGTTGACTTTTTTTTTTTTTTTTTTTAATAATAATCATTCTGACAGGTGTTAGGTGATATCTCATTGTGACTTTGATCTGCAGTTCCTTGCTGATTACTTTGAGCCCTTTCTCACATATATATGTTGGCCATTTGGAGTTCTTTTTGGAGAAATGTCTATTTAAGTCCTTAGCCCATTTTTTAAATCAGGTTATTAGTTTTATTTCTAATGAGTTGCAGGTGTGCCTTATATAAGTGGGAGACTAACTCCTTATCAGATTTATGGTTTGCAAATACTTTTTCCCATTCCATGGGTTGCCTTTTCATTCTGTTGTTTCCTTGGCTGTGCAGAAGCTTTTAACTTTGACGTAGTCCCACTTGTTTATTTTTATTTTGTTGCCTGTGCTTTAGATGTCATAGCCATGAAACCACTGCCAAGGCCAATGTCATGAAGCTTTCTCGCTATGTTTTCTTCTTGGAGTTTTACAGTTGTAGGCCTTACATTTATGTGTTCAATTCATTTTGAGCAGATTGTGTATATGGCGTAAAATAAAGGTGTAATTTTATTCTTTTGCATATGGATATTCAGTTTTCCCAGCACTATTTGTTGAAGAAACAATCCTTTTTTTCCATTGTGTATTTTTGCTACTTCTGTCAAAGATCAGTTGTATGTGTGAATTCATTCCTCCTCTCTTTATTCTGTTCCTTGGCCTGTTTCAATTCCTGTTTCCTCAGAAATAGTTACTATAAGGAATAGATGGATGGTGAGGGCTAAATTCAAAGCTGAGTATAAGCTCTTTTAAGGCTCAAGTTTGAAAGAAGGATATAGAATATAAAATAACTGTAAGTAATGCAGAATTAGCTCTGTGGATAAGCAACTATGCTAATTGCCATTTCAGTAGACTTTAGACTTTTTTCTACTGTCCCATTGCTAAAGAATTTATTTACTGGGGTGCTTCAAATGACAATTTTGTAATTGTTGATAGCAAATTGATAAGCTGCTACTTTAGTTCATAAAAACAAATTGTAGCAACTAATAATACCAACAACAGACAGATTTAATATGTCCTAGATCCTCTTTTAAGCACTTTACATATTTGCTTAATTCTCATAAAGCCACATGAGTTAGATGCCATCATCATTCTCGGTTGAAGAGCTGAGAGAGCTTGCCCAAGTGGAAGGGCACATGGAACTGAACTATGTGGAAGCCACACGAAGCTGACAGAATGTCTGTGCTCTACCTCAGGGGGCAGTAAACTTTGTACAGGGCCGAGCAGTAAATACATTACTTTGTGGGCTTTATGACCTCTGCAGCAACTACTGAATTCAGCCATTGTGGCAACCATAGATAATATACAAATGAATGGGAGTGGCTGTATTCCAACAACTTTGAGTATGGACATCAAAATTTGAATTTCATACTGTTTTCATGTGTCACGAAACATAATTCTTTATTTATTTTTTCTACTTTTCAAAGATGTAGTATTTTCCTTAGCTCCCTGGTACAAAAACAGGAAGTGGGCCAGATTTGGCATTGGGTACTAGTTAGCCAACCCCTGCTAAAAAGCCCCCCAGGATTCTGGTTTTAAGATAAAGCTTATGGGTAGCAGTGGCTGAGTCATCCTGAGGAAGGATGACTCCCCTGGGGTAGGCTCCTATGTGCAGAATGGCTTCCTCAGAGTCTTCCCCATTGCCCAGTAAAATGACCAAAAGGAATGCTGTGAAGCCTGGGCCTGTCGCCTCACCCGGTGCAGTAACAATAGCCAGAGGGCATGCACAATGACAAAGCTGAGGCAAAGCTAGCTATCAAACGTTTATCAGCTATCAAGGTGACATGGATATCTCTATTCATGGGCTAAGTATTTGTTTCAGGAAAATATACTAAGAACTTGACAAAAGATGAATTTACTTTTATGGCTTGGATATTCCAATGGACATGAATGGACGAGGTGGAAAGTGAGAGAAATAAGCCACTTTACTAAGTTCTGGGCATGTGCCAAGTATTGTACTAGAAACTTCCTTTTGGTGTTGCACTAAAAGAATATCACCTTCCAAAGGAGAAGCAGTTACCCACATTTTATAGATGAGGAAATTGAGGCTTAAGTAACCTTCTGCAAGTGACACACCAGGTCTTTGACCCTTGATCTACCTAGCTCTGAAGCAGAGGTGTTTTAAAATATATATATATATATATATATATATATATATATATATATATATATATATATATAAACTATAAAGATACTAAGCCAAGTTCTTCTTATTTATTTTTCATCATTGTACTGCTTTCTGTGGAATTAGGGCAAAAGAGAGGCTACAGAAAAAGAATGTTAGAGGTAGAAAAACTCTCCAAAGCTCAAAAGTATCAGCCATCGTCAAAGAGTGATACTCATGTCCTTCATTCTCAAGTATAACCTAGAAGAAGAGTCCACTCCTTGTGCCTGTTTTAATTTTGAACCAAATAACCCCCCGCCCCACCCATGGAATAAGAACTTGTTTTTATCCTTATACCTTCAAATTGCAGAATCTGAGGTATGGACACTGCAATCCTCAAGTCGTTTAAAGAAACTCGGCAACAGAACACTCCCGCAGCACACTCTAGTTAAAAATAGGGATGCCTGACTGGCATGGACATTCTGGGGAGCTATGTGATGTGTGTGATGTGTCCTAACGATTTATTAACTCACAGCAAAAGACTTCAGGGGTTATGCAGCCATGTCTACATGATTGATGGTCATGGCAGCAGCATGCATGAGGACGAGAGCTATAGGTTTATAGCTAGAGTATGGATAATAGTCATTTTGAGAAATCATTGGGATCACAGAAACCATTCTGCATGTCTTCCCCAATCATATTGTTTTATGAAGAAGATGGGGAAAATGAGCCAGGGAGAAGGTAAGTGATTGGCCCAAGCGGGCCTAGCCTGTTGTAAATATTTCACTCTTTCAATAGAGTTGGTGGCATCATTTGACTATGCCTCTCAGACAGGTTCTTGCTCTTTTGTGGTTTACCTTCCCCAATCCAGCCATATGTTTTCAAGACAGAAGGCAGTGTGGACACTCTTTGTCCCTGGAGAAAAGTTAATAGAGAACTATGTGTAGTATCCATGCTGAACTTCCTTGCTCAGAGAAGTAGTGGAAGAAATAGACTAGCTACTGTAAGTAACTACAGTTGTTTCAACATTTCCTGCAGGTGAATTAATCATAGGTCTCATCACTGGTAGAAATGTGTAATAACATTTACCAGATTAAAGTCTCAACTTTAAAAAAAAAAACAAAAAAACTCTAATGTGTATTTAAAAACTCTAATGTGCTAGTCTAATTGCCTGTAAAGTGTTTAACCGGTTCCTTTTGATAATAATAAATCATGAACCACAGCTGTCCAATAGAACTTTCTACCATATTTGAAATATTCTATATATGTGCCATCTAAAACAATAGTCACTAATTACATGTCTATAGGGCACCTGAACTGAGGAGCTAAATTTTTAATTGCAATTTAAATAGCCACATGGCTACTGAACAGGTTCCTTTTGACCTATTCCTTCCCTTAGTGAAACTTTTAGCTAGATGGATGATCAAGAGTAACCTGGAAACAGATTTTGGAGAATATGTGTGTGTGTGTATGTATGTACATGTGAGTATATTACATTTTTAGTTAATATATTAGAGCAATGGTTTGTCAAGTATCCAAGACTTTATGTGGGAGAATCAAGTTAACTATCTCCATCAAAAACATATTACCAGAAGAGCTATAGGTATTTTATCTTCCAGTAGACTGCATGCTTTAGAATTACTGTTCTATGAAACAAATTGTATTCATTTTATTAAAATGGATGGATAACTTTAAATTAGATCAAACTTTTTCAGAGAAAAGGGAAAAACAGAGGAAGCTTTTCTCTTGGCAAATGAAGGAAATTTGGGGCACCTAATTCTTTAGGAAGCTGAAGCTACCAGGTATATTAGAGAGCTTAATATTCTATGAGTCTATACTAATTGTTTCTTTCTTTGTTTTTATATTGAATTTACTGGGTGACATTGGCTAATAAAATTACATAAGTTTCAGGAATATAATTCTGTAATACCTCATCTATATATTGTATTGGGTGTTTATGACCCCAAGTCAAGTCTCCTTCTATCACCACTTACCCCCATTTTGTCCCTGCATCCCCATTTCCTCTGGCAATCATCATACTGTTGTCTTTGCCCATGAGTCTTTCTTTTTTTCCTTGGCTTAATTTCTTTTCACTGAGCCCCCAATCCCCTTCCCTCCCCTCTGATAGCCATCAGTCTGTTCTCTGTACTCATGAGTCTTTCTCCATTTTGTTTGTTAGTTTATTTTGTTCACTAGATTCCACATGTAAGTGAAATCGTATGATACTAACAGATTGGCTATCATCAATAAACCAACAAACAACTGTTGGTGAGATGTGGAGAAAAAAGGTCCCTCGTGCATTGTTGGTAGGAATGCAGATTGGTGCAGCCATTGTGGAAAAAAAATTACTTGAAGTTTCCTCAAAAATTAAAAATGAAACTGCCTATGACCTAGCAAGTCTACTTCTGAGAATATA